CTGTATCTGGATACAGGTACCTTCCTGTACCTGTATATTTATATCTTTCTAAAATTTTGGAAAGTTGTCTGTTATTATTTCTTCACCTCTAAAGAGTTTTTCAGTTCAGCAAAATGTATTTCTCAGTTCCAAGATTTCTGTTTTTTTGACAATTATTATTCCAATATTTTTGTGAAATTTTTCTGATAAATTTCTGAATTGCTGTTCTGTGTTATTTTGGAGATCACTGATCTTCCTCAAAGCTGATATTTTGAATTCTTGTTCAGAGAGCTCACAAATCACCCTCTCATGAGGGTCAGTCACTGGATTTTTTTCTTTGTTCTTTTGGGGAGGTCATGGTTTCCAGTTTGCTGCTGTTTCTTGTAGGTATACATCTACGTCTTTGCATTGAAGGATTAGGTATTTGTACCAGTTTTCTCTGTCCAGCTTGCTTTGGTTTTTGTTGAATACATTTGATTAGATAATCTTCACTACGAGGTTGCTGTCTCCTTTTTGGCTCTTCAGGTGGCACCTTCAATCCAGGTTCCTCTTGACTCTAGTAAAGGGTTGGAGCACTGCCTGTCCCAGATTATCCAGCAGTGTGGGAAGGCTGGCTAGGGATTCATGCCCAGGGGACTGTGCCTCCTATAACTAGTCTGACTTGGTGTCTCTGTTGGCAAAGTTACCAAGCAGAATTTCCTTAGGGATGGTAGTCCTGCCTCCTCCATTTGTCTCTGCCAGTTCTCAGAGATACTTCTCCCTTCAGGACCATCATGATGTTACCTGTGGGTTAAAGAAAGGATAGGTCTCCTGCCAGGGAACCCAAGAAGATAGGGAAGCTAGTTGATCACCTTGGTTTCACTTTTTCCAATGCAGAAACTGTGAATTGAGGGGAGAATTTTTGTGTGTGGTTGGTGCCTGGTAGATGTGGAAGTCTAGTTCTCCTACTGTCTGTTAAGAGGTTTTTCCACTTCTCTGTACCCTAGTATGACTCTTTCATCATCATACTTGAACTCTGGGTTGCTGCTGGTGAAAATCTCGCACTGTATATTTGCTTTTGTGTGTGTGTGTGTTGGAGTCTCACTCTGTCACCCAGGTTGGAGTGCAGTGGCCGTGAGCGTGCCACTAAAGCCTCGAACTGCTGGACTCAGGTTATCCTTCCACCTCAGCCTTCCAAGTAGCTGGAACTACAGGCACGCACTACCACATCTAGCTACTTGCTTTTTGTTGTTGGGTGGGGAGGGGGTGGGAGCAAGGCAGGCCGTGGAGAGAGAATCCAGCTTCCCTTTATGCCATCATTTTGAAAGCAGAACTTCCAACTCCTTTTCATGATTAGCAAGTCAGAAATATAAGGCAACTTTCATAATATGCTAGTCTGTCTACCCAAATTCCCCAAAGCTAACAAATGGTCAAATATTGAACAGCTTCCTCTCAAGGTCGGGAATAAGATAAAAACTCCCATCACTATCTGTATTCAGTATTGTAGTAGATGTACTGGCAAAAGCAATGAGGAAATAAGAGTAATAAAAGCCTTCAAAATTGGAAAGAAAAAAATAAAAGTACCATTGTAACTTGACTGCATACTTAGACAATCATAAATAATCTGCATAGTATTAAAATTTATATGTGAATTAATTAAGGCACTGGTTAATACAAGGCCAATATATAAAATCAATTGTGTTTCTATATGCTAGCAACAAAATAGACAAACCAATTTTAAAAATGGGTCAAATAATTGAATAGACATCTCTCCAAAGAAGGTATACAAATGACCAAAAAGCACATGAAAAGACGTTCAATCTCATTATTCTCTAGGAAAATGCAAATCACATTCCATTATTTTATATATACCCCAAAGAAATGAAAACAGGGATTTAAACAGATACTCATATACCAATGTCCCTTGCAGTGTTATTCACAATAGCCAAAAATAGGAAACAACCCAAGAATCCATAAATGGACGTACACACACACAAAATGGAATTCATATACAAAGGAATAAAGTTCCTTCATAAAAAGGAATGAAGTGGCCAGGCGTGGTGGCTTAAGTCTGTAATCCCAGCACTTTGGGAGGCTTAAGTGAGGGGATTACCTGAGCCCACAGGTTCGAGAATAGCCTGGGCAATTTGGCAAGACCTCATCTCTACAATACATGAAAAAATTAGTCGAGTGTGGAAGCATACACCTGTAGTTCTGGCAACTTGAAAGACTGAGGAGGAAGGATTGCCTGAGCCCAGTGGGTTGATGCTGGAATGGCCATGAGCATGCCACTGCACCCCAGCCTAGGCGACAGAGTGAGACACTGACTCAAAAAAAAAGAAAGAAAGAAAGAAAGAAAGAAATGAAGTTCTGATACACAGTACAACATGAATACATTTTGAAAACATTATGCTAAGGGGAATAAGTCAGACACAAAAGAACAAATATTGTATGATTCCACTTTCACAAGATACCTAGAATAGACAAATTGACGTAGACAGATTAGAGTTTGCCAGGGGCTGGTGGTGGTGGGGGGTAATGAGGAATTTTGCTTAATGAATACAGAATTTGTATTTGGGGTGATAAAAAGTTTGGAATAGTGATGCTTGCACAACATTGTGAATATAAATAATGACAGTGAGGTGTACACTTAAAAGTGATTAAATGTCAAGTTTTACGCTGTACATCTTTACTACTATAAAAAATTTTAAGCTACGTTAAATGCAGTGAGAAACAAACTAGCCAAAGGAACAAAATATAGGTCTAGTGACAGACGTATACACACATGGTTCTTTTCAATGGAGAAAAGAAGGTAGTTTCAGTTGACTAATGCTGGATTGATTTGACATCTGTACAGAAAAAATATTTCTGGGCTTCTACCTCTCACTGTGTACACAATAGTCAGTCCTTTAGGGACTGCACATCTAAATGTAAAAGGTAAAACAATAAAGAGCTTAGAAGATAGGAAGAGGCTGGGCTTGGTGGCTCAGCCTGTAATCCCAGCATTTTGGGAGGCTGAGGCGAGTGGATTGCCTGAGTCTGTGGGTTCGAGACCAGCCCGGGCAACTTGGGTGTGGCAGTGTGCACCTGTAGTTCTGGCTACTTGGAAAGTTGAGGTAGAAGGGTCGCCAGAGCCCAGCAGGTTGACGTTGAGATGGCTGTGAATGTGCCACTGCATTTCAGTCTGGGTGACAGAGTGAGAATTCAACTCAAAAAAAAGACAAGGAGAACAATTTTATGAACTTATGGTAGGCAAAGATTTCTTTAATAGGATGCAAGAACCACTAATCATAGAGAAAAATTTTAATAATGTATACTATGTTAAGAACTTCTGTTCATCAAGAGACACCAAGATGCTTGAAAAAGGCAAACCAATTGGAAAAGATATTTTCCATACACATATCTGAAAAATGATTCATAGTCTAGAATATTTAAAAACTAAACTAAAATAGCCAAAAAGAAAAAAAAAAAAACCTCCTAAAAATCAATAAAAAGAAAATCACCCAGTGGAAAAAATAGACAAAGGACTTGAAGAGACAGTTCCCAAAAAAAGATATTCAAATGGCCAATAAGCATAGGACAAGGTGCTCAACTCTGTTAGTCATCAGGGAATTACAGGATAAAATGCCAGTGAGACAGGGGTATTTCATATCAGGAAATAGTTAAAATGAAGAAGACATGACATAGCACAGAAGACATAGCACAGAGCACATGGAAGTGGAAACTGGTACAACCACTTTGGAAAACCTGCAGAAAGCACTAAAGCAATGTCCTAGGCACATTATGTACAATGAGAACCATGTGCAGGAATCTTTATGGCATCCCTGTTTGTAGTAACCCCAAATGCCCATCAACAGTAGAATGGATAGGTGAACTGTGGCAATTCACACAGTGAAATACTGTGCTGCAATGAGAATAAACTCAGCACAACCACATACAACCATAAGGATAATGTTGAAGGGGGAAACCCACAAAACATTGCACTGTATGATCTGTTATATGAGAGGAAAATATATGTACATATCTATGAAGGGAATACGTGTATGTGTGTGTGTGTGTGTGTGTGTGTGTGTGTGTGTGTGTGTGTGTGTGTATGAGGCAAAACTATTCAATGCTGTTAGAATCCAGTTACTTAGTGAGTGTACTGAAAGGAAGAGGCTCAGGGGCTTCTGAAGTTTTCTTTATCCGGGTGCTTATTATAGTGGCATGTTCAGTTTGTGAAAATCCATCAAGTCACACACCTATAATTTTTGTACTTTCTATATGTATGACGTATGTACTGCCTTAGTAACAGTTCTCCATAAATTATGTATATTTTGGTAAACAGGCAATTTAAATAAATGTAATAAGTGATTGACAGCTTAAGTTTTACAGATATGAGCAAGGTGAGTGAATGACCAAAGGCTGGAGACATTTGCATAATCTGGCATCTGCTTCATTCTATACATCTTCTTTCTCTGCCCGTGCCCACAGGTCCCATTCCACTCTCTCCCACCTTCATCCTCAGGACCATCTACCTAGCCACCCTTTTCTGTTGAGGCTCAGGTGGACAGCTCCTTAGGCTGAGGCTTCCCTTTGGTCCCTTTATGGCCCCCTGGCTCAGGGGAATAAACCTAATTTGTAGGCTAAAAGTCATTGGAGAGATGAGGCATCTTTTTCATGAACAAATGTGATTTGACAAAGGTCAAAGAACTGGTTAGCTATAGGAATGTGCTCAAATACCTCCCCAAAGCCTCCATACCCAGCATTTCTTGCCAGTTTAGAGGGTTTCAAGACAGAATACTCTAAATCTACAATCCCTACATGACTTACCCACTGTGGCATCCAAGATACCACCATCTGGGGCCCTTGGATTTCTGCGTGCACATTTCCTCTGATTCTTCTAACAGCAGCAGTCTCCCTGCCATGGCCTGCCACCCACGGTGCCAGAGGCTGCCCAAGGCAGAGTGGACCAGGTGCTGTGAGCTGGCTCCCAATGAACTAGGGTTGGCTTTCCTGAGGTCAGCGCGCCGTGCCTAACTGCCACCATATTCCGTCCTCAGGTCTTTCCAACCCTCTCCTGCTGCCATGAAGATTGCAGTGATTGGACAGAGCCTGTTTGGCCAGGAAGTTTACTGTCACCTGAGGAAAGAGGGCCACGTGGTCGTGGGTGTGTTCACTGTCCCAGACAAGGATGGGAAAGCCGACCCCCTGGGTGAGTAAGCCACCCAGGAACAGGGAAAAGGATGGCCCGGCTGCCCAGGCAGAGGGGGAGCAGCGGGTGAAAGCATAAATCTGCAGGGTTTTGTGCCCTAGCTGGGAAGCAGCCATAAACAGTCTGCCCTGAATCCTGCTTCAATGCCAACTGGCTGCTGGGCTTTTCTGGAATAAAGTCAAGTAGAGACCCTCTCCCATCTGATTGTAGGGGTGGAATGTGTGTCCTGAGGAAGGACCATAGAGGAGTAGCCTGGTCCCAGGCACCACTCAGAGCTTCTCAGACCCCAGCACCCAGGATCAGGAAGGAATCCCAGGGCAGGAGGCCCTGGGGGTCCGTGTCCTCAAAGGTGGGCATGCACTGCATCCCACTGCTGCGAGTCCTGAGTGCTGAGCCCACCCTGGGAGTTTCTGATTTGGTAGAAGGGGTAGAGTTCGAGAAGTTTCATTTCTGACCATTTCATGGATGAGGTTGGTGCCGTGGTTCTCGGAGGAGCGCAGTTTGAGAACCACGGGTTGGCCACCGACCTTAAGCAGGGAACCTCAGCGGACAGGAGATAGGGGCCTTAGCTTAGATGAACAGGTATTTTTCAGCCCTGATGGAGGCCAATTGTAGGGCAGGGCTTAGGAAAGGGGGCCAATCGTAGACCAGGATTAGGAAAGCAGGATCATGGGCCTGGCCAGGCACAGGCACATGGTTTGTTATAAGGAAGAGCCAGCTGCAGTCTGACCTTGGACTCAGCTCTAGCACCCACTGCCTGATGCCAGCCAAGGCCTCAGTCTTGAACCTGACCACAGCATGACCCATGACACATCCTGACCCCACCACAGCCTGAGCCCTGCACCCGGCCACTGAGTGACCATGGGCAATAGCTGCTGATCTTGGACCCAGACCGAGCCTGGCCGGGGCTCCTACTTGACTTTGATCTCCCACTGTGGGTCAGTCTTTTTCTGGTACAGTACAATCTGCTCACATCACATCTCACCCTCGCTCAGAACCACTGGATGCCAGGACATAGTGGCAGAGAAGGAGGGCGGAGAGGAGGGTCAGTCCAGTCGGGGCCAAACATCACACCAAGCTTCTGACAGAGAATTGAAGAGCGGAAGGCCAAGAGAACCTGAAGACACCAGGAGGCAATGACTGCAGGAGACAGTATCCCCCACTCTTCTGAGGCTCAGGGTAGAAGAATAAGTTGTCACCATGGAAACTTGGGAGCTAGGGGCTGTGTTGAGGCTAGTTCCACAGATATTGGAAACTCGATCAGCTGCTGCTCTGTGGCTGGGGGGAAGAAGCTGGGCTGCAGGACTGCTCACGGGACAGGAGCCCACCTGGCAGAAAGGACAGAGTCCCTTCTCTCCACCGTTCTGGTTCCCATCAGGGACAGCAAACAAAGCAGAAATGCGAACAACAGGGGGCCAGCCGCACCACCAAAAGCAGCGAAGGAACTCAGTGACCACAGGGCAAAGCCTCCAAGCGGGGCAAGGGGAAGAGGTCAGCCAGCTGGAGCCTGGGGCGTCTAGAAGAGGGCATCGCTCAGAGGCCTTGGTGGTCAGCAACAGTCCGACAAGAAGCAGAGCAGCCCCTGAGGCCTCCCACCCGGCCGGTGCACTCTCACGGTGCTGAGTGACCGCCAGAGCGTGGAAGGCAGGGGAGGGGCAGGCATGGAGAGAAAGTCCAGGCCCCACTCTGCTGGGAAGGCAGGGGTAGCAGCGTGTGGGCTGGTGGCAAAGGGGCCAGCTTCTTAACCCACTGTCTCACAGGCCTGCAGGCCGAGAAGGACGGAGTGCCAGTGTTCAAGTTCCCCCGGTGGCGGGCCCAGGGCCGAGCTCTGCCTGATGTGGTGGCAAAATACCAGGCTTTGGGGGCCGAGCTCAACGTCCTGCCCTTCTGCAGCCAGTTCATCCCCATGGAGGTCATCAACGCCCCCCAACACGGCTCCATCATCTATCACCCGTCACTGCTGCCCAGGCACCGCGGGGCCTCGGCCATCAACTGGTGAGAGGGCCACCCCGCACATCCCCCTCCATCGGCCTGAATTGTTCCCCTCCCTTAGTCCGAAGTCCTTCTCTACAGACAGACTGGGGACCTTGCGAGTGCCTGTCCCATGCTGCCAGATGTCAGCCATAAAATAGATCGGTCGAAATGACACCCATGGGAGAGAAGGTTCCGGAGCACGGGGTGCAGGCGTGCTAAACACCCTGCACCCTCACATGTCACCCAGAAGGCTGGCACTGTCAGTATTTCTATCCTGAAGCTGGAACAGAGAGGTGACCAGGGCACAGGGGCCAGGGCCAACCCAGCTGGCAGGCCAGAGTCCTGCTCTGACCTCTGCCTACAACCACTAGACAGTTTGAGGTGACAGAGTGCCAAGTAGACAAAAAATAGGGTGGCATGTCAGATGGGAGGTCAGGGAGGAAAGACATTTGGGCTGAGCGGAGTGAGTGGACTTGTAGTCAGACTGGTCTGGCTGGAATCCAGGCTCCCTTGGTGACATCACTGTACTTCTCTGGGCCTCAGTTTTCTTGACTGTAAACCAGCACACCACGCCTGTGAGCCCTGTTGTGCGGACCGAGTTACATAAGGCAAATAGAGTTTTCAGCACAACACCTGGCCCACAGTAGGTTTCAACAAATGTTGTTTTCCTTCTCTTCCTTACCCGTCCTGCTGGAGTGGTTGTCAGTCCTCCCAGGGAAAGAAGGGGGCCTGCTGGAAGGTGGCAGAGGTACCAGGGCTCCACCGTGACCTTTCCTCTTGGACTCAGGGTTTCACTCTTCTGCTTTTCAGGACCCTCATTCATGGAGATAAGAAAGGGGGGTTTACCGTCTTCTGGGCAGATGACGGTCTGGACACTGGGGACATTCTGCTGCAGAAGGAGTGTGAGGTGCTTTCAGATGACACCGTGAGCACTTTGTACAACCGCTTCCTCTTCCCCGAAGGAGTCAAAGGGATGGTAAGAACTGGGAGCTAGCCATAACCTACGCCTTCTCCTGACACACCCCTGCTGCAGGACTTCTCTGTCCTCAGGCACCTTCTCTAGACCCAGTCAGCCACTCCTAAAAGAAGACACTTGGCCCAAGTGGCCAGGAATCTGTTCCCCAAATTCAGGATCCTGGAGGAAGAGAACTGTCACTCGGAGGTTCAAAGAGGCAGTACTAGGACAAACAAGGTGTTGCATTAGGAGGGATTTTTACTCACAACTGACAGAATCCAACTCATCTTTTGCCAAAAAGGGGACATTTTTAGCTCACTTAATAGTCGATATGAAGGGCAGGGATGATGTCACGTGTGGCTGGATCCAGACACTTAAGCAACGTCATTGGGATTCTGTCTCTCTTTCTTCACCCTTTGATTCTGGTTTTCTATTTGATTAGCTTCCTTATCAGATAGGTTGTCCCAAATGGGAGGAATGATAGTCACTGGTAGCTCAAGGTATAATTCTTGATTCCAGGGGAAGAGAAACCCTCTTTCTCCTAGAATTCTGAGTGAAAAATCAGGGAAGACTTGCATCGGCCAACTTGGGGCCTTGTGATCTTCCCAGTCAGTCCCCAGCCAGGGTGATGGAGTACTCTGATTGGCTGCCTCAGTCACATGCTTCCTGCTGGAGCCTGCTGGGGAAGAAAGTCTGGATGCGGTTGTAGTTATTGGTCTGAGTTCTCCGCGGGAGAGGTTGTTGCCTGAGGCAGAGGAGCGGGCTGTGAAGGACAAGATGACTGAAGTCAGAAAGTTGTTCCCCAGACAGCAGGATCTGGCCCTGCAGCTGCAGGAGAACTTCTGGAGGTTGTGCATCTGTGCAGGGCTGCAGGTGGTCTGCCCTGCAGCTGGCTGGCTGGTGAGGGCCTGGGTGATGGCCAAAGGCAGGCATATTCCAGGTCAGGACTGGGACAGGAAGTTTCCAGGGTGGGAAGCATTCCTTGTTTGGTATAACATGTGGCAGTAAGCCTGACAGTGGCACACAGATGCTCACCGCAGCCCAAATGTTGTCTACCTCATCACCCTCAGCTCCCGTCTGCTGCTTTTTATTTTTCAAATTGTGTTGAGCAAGAAGTCTTTTTCTTTCCCACAGAATGACCTTCTCACCAAAGTAGTGAACCGAGTAGAAGTGCTAGAGATTTAGTATGAAAGACAGAGAAGGGGATTCCTTGCTCATCTCACAGCAAACAGCTGATACCCGTCCTCTGTTCAGTAAGGCTGCCACTGATCATACGCAGTTATCTATTTACTTAAAATTAGTTGTACTTAAAAAATCAGTTCCTCAGTCTCACTAGCTATGTTTAAAGCTCCCCACAATCCCATGTGGCTCCTGGCCACTGTAGTGAACCAGGCAGACACAGAACACGTCCGTCACCACAGACGCTCCCGCTGGGCAGGTCTGCTGCAGCTGTTCCTAATGTCTGAGTCGCTTCCCAGTCTTGGCCTCTCTTCCCTCAGACGCTTCCTCATGGAGGGCCCACACTCCTCAGCTCTTTCTTCACTCTTCCCGGATTCCTTCTTGTGCTACCTTCCTCTTTCCTGTCTCAGAGAAACTACTTCCTGCTTAATTTCAGACCTCCAAACTCATGTCTTCAAGCCCACCATGGGGCTCAGGCAGAGGTTTTTGACAACAACATGAAAACTTTCATATGTGCTAACCTGCAGAGCTTTATATATAAGATAGTGTACACACATACACACACACACATACACACACACATATCTTATAGTTCATATAATCTTCTAAGATCTCAGAAGATGCAAGATCTTCTATATAATCTAAACCCTTGTGTGGCGGACAGTGCGGGTCTGTGCCCATCGTGCAGATTGGAGTTAGGTTCATGATGACTCCTTTGTTTGTATGGCGGTGAATTCTCAGTACTTGCTGTGTGCCAGGCAGGTCTGGCCAGTCTGGTTCAGGGTCCAGGCTCAACATGGGCCTGGAGGACCAGAGGGAGGGAGGGTTCTGCTGCTGGGGATGCCTACCCCTGTGGTCTCTCCAGGTGCAGGCTGTGAGGCTGATCACTGAAGGCAAAGCCCCCAGACTTCCTCAGCCGGAGGAAGGAGCCACCTATGAGGGGATTCAGAAGAAGGAGACAGCCAAGGTGAGTGCGGGGCCCTTGCCCGCCTAAAGCCAGCCTGTGAGCAAACTAGGGGTGCAGAGGGTGGCCTGGGGAAGCTGGAGTTTGGCCTGGACGGTGCAGGTTGTAATGTTTGAGACCAGAAGCAGCGGCAGTCCAGGATGAGGATGCATGAGCAGAGCAGTGGAGGAGGAGGCCCTTGGCACCTGGAAGGGCAAGAAACAGGGTCAAGGAACAGGGTCCATTCAAGGTCATTTCCTGTTCCTCTTTAGGAGAGTGGGCAGGCAGAGTCGTCAAGGAGAGAGAAGAGCTTGGCGGGGGTGGGAGGAGTGGGGGTGGCCGACAATCAGCTGTGGTGTTGGCAGTCTCCAAAACGAGGAGCAAGAGACAATTCAGTCCCCAATGGAGCGACAGTGGCAGAGGAGCCTTGGAGGACTTGTGGGCTGTGTCTTTGTGCAGAGACATACGTGGGCCTGTAGGCAAGGAGAAACTGGGCATGGGCATGGGACAGGCCTGAGCACTCTGTGCTGGGAACTCGGTGTAGGGCCTCAGCCATCTTGACAGCAACAGAACATTGCCTTCCCCAGACCATTCTGAAGTCTGCTCAGGGCCAGGATGACCATGAGAGACTGAGGGTCAGAGAGCACCCAGAACTGGGGGCACCAGTTCAGTGACTTAGACCAGGGCCCACGAGGAAGTTGAGTTTACCAAATGCCTTACCAGGGCTCAGTCCACTGTCCAGGAGTCTTCAGGGGAGAAGCCAGCTGAGTGTGCCTGTCCTGTTTCCCACAGATCAACTGGGACCAGCCAGCAGAGGCCATTCACAACTGGATCCGTGGGAATGACAAGGTGCCAGGGGCCTGGACAGAGGCCTGTGGACAGGTGTGCTCATGTGTGGGTGGAATTCGGCTGGGTGCATTGGTGTGCCCCGCTGGCTGTAAAACTGTCACACATGCTTGACCTGAGTGGTAAATAGCCACTGCCCTGCCCCTACCCCCACTCAAATGTCTGTGAACATTTCAGTCCCTCCCCATGGTGGACCTATATACCATCCAGTCACTAAAAGGTAGATGTCCAACGTCACTGGAGGCCTCCAGTCCCCTGCAGCAGCTCTGCAGCCCAGTTGAGTTGGTTGTGAAATATTCTGAGTCTTATCCGCTCATAAAGACCCCAGGCTGACTCCAACCTGGAGTCAGCGAGGGGAGGGGCGGCATGCTCAGGGCCAGGATGACCATGGGCAAGCCAGATGCTGAAGATGGGGAGCCCTGGGCCCACAGGCTCCAGTGACGTGTCAGGGGGTGACAGGACTATGTTCGGTGGTCTTTGTCCAAGCCTTGAGGGCAGTCTCGTCCTCCACACAACCCCAGGCTGCCCAAATCCCTGACTCTCAGCCCACTCCCCAGACTGTGGAAGGCTCTGCTGTCCTCACAGCAAAGCCCTTTGTCCTGGTAAATGCATCTCCCGAACAAAGCAACTGGCACTTGATGGCATCCCAGGGAAGGTGGCTCCGCTTCTCGATGCTTTGAGCACATTTCCCCCAAGTCTGTGGACGTGCGGTCTGAGGCTGTGGGCCAAGGGCAGGGGTCTTCCGGGTACCTGGGGCTTGAGCCAGCCCTGTATTATCTCCCTGAGGCTACCTGCGGCAGCCCCTCCAGGTCTTGTTGTGTCCCTGGAGGCAGGGACTCAGGGCCTCCTGGGCCTTGAGCCAGCTCTCAGATCTCAGCTGCCCCACCCCCCTTCCCAGCCTGCTCAGCCCGGCCTGGGCTGCCGGCAGCAGGAGCTTCTTCTCAACCACTGTCTTCTGGTTTTCCTCCCCTCCACAGAAGCTGACGTTTTTTAATTCAACGCTGAACACTTCAGGCCTGGTGCCTGCAGGAGAAGTTTTGCCTATCCCAGGATCCCATCGGCCAGGGTTGGTCACCAAAGCAGGACTCCTCCTCTTTGGGAATGATGACAGAATGGTAAGGGTGCTGCTGTGGACCACTCACCTGCACCATGGGCTCAAGGCCACCCGCACCCCTGTCCTTGGGCTCAGACTCCACAGGAAGGCCTCAGGGTGCTCCGGGGAAGCAGGGAAAAAGTGAGGCCCGGGAGGGAAAAACCCCGCACTCATCCTCAGGGCTGGGCCAGCCCTGAGCGATTTAGCCCCTTCTCTGGGTCTCCTTGCTCTTCCTGGCTAGACACCTCTCTCAGCAGGGTGCCCTTTGTGAGTCTCAGGCAGCCCAGAATCAGGGAGATCCCCTGTGAGGGAGCACTTGTTTGAGTCTGTCAGAGTGTCTAAGCACCAGTGGGTAAGGCCATGAAGCCTCTGTGCCTCAGTTTCCTTCTCTTTGATCAAGGATGCCATAGTGACTCAACACGTGCAGAATCCTGGGCATATCACATGCTCTCACTGGTATCAGCAGACTCTGCAAATCCGAGCAACAGCTGACACTGACAGAGCGCTTTTCGTGTGCCAAGCACTGTTTGAAAACAATCTGTACGTATGAAATGTAATCTTGCCAACAACCCTATGAGATATGTACTAATATTACACCTATTTTACAGAGGAGGAAACTGAATGTAGAGATTTAAATAACTTGCCCAAGGTCACTCAAGCTAGTCTGTGGCAGACCTGGGATTCAAGCCCTGAAATCCTGACTCCAAGCCTTGGTTCTGGGTCCTTACACTCCTTGGTTTCTTTTCACGAGAGGAGCTGGGGGTGAGGAGAGAAGGACAAGCAGAGAGTCTCCTGGCACTTTATGGAGCTTCAGCAAACCTCACGGATGTTGTACCCTCGACCACACTGGTGTGTCCAAGCCAGATGGGGTGCTGGGTGGCTGCACGTGGGCCTGAGTGGCTTGCTCTTGGTGTCTGCCCTGCTGAGTTCTGCTGTCTGAGGGTCTGAGGCCGCTGTTGATCTCTGCAGTTTGCAGTGTTTTGAGCTTTCCTGACTGATCAATGCAGCTACAAGAGGTTACCTGTCTGAAGTGAGGTTCCTCAGAAGCAGCTTCGGAGGTGGGAGTCTTTGTACTAGTGACGTTTTAAGGGAATGCTCTCGGAAAATGACGTTAGGCGGTGAGGGCAACAGGCTCGTGCAGACCAAGGGTGAAGCAAGGATAAAGTTCCAGAGTCTAGTCTTGGCCTGCTCCCAGGGTGGGGCTTGGAGTAGGACCTGCCCCTGCCGATGATGCTGGTCCGTTCCCACATTAGCCATACCCTGGTTTCAGCTGTGCCCCGGAGAATAACAAGGCACGGCTCCTCCGCCTCTTGGTGCTGAGTGCTCTCGCCACCTACAACAAGCAAGGAGGAAGGGACAAGTAGACCGTTCACAACCTGCCCTTGCAGCAGCTGCCGGATGGGGTGCCAGCCAGGAGAGGCTCTGAGCAGGGCACCAGCTGCATCTGCCCTGAGACCTGCAGAGACAGCAAAGCCAAGGGGGCAGCCATGATGGAGACCTTCAGTTAACGCGTCTCCCGGGCGATTCCCACCGGGTCTCGCTGGGCTTTAGCTCACAGAAAGCTCCAGAACATCTTCAAAGGCAGCAGGGTGAGGTCAGGCAGGAGATGGGCTCCAGTTCTGTCAGTGTGCATACAGTGTACTGTTTTTATGTGGCCACTTTTATCAGTAGAGATGTGCTGCTCCCCCATGCTGATCTGCAACTCTTTCTTCTTTTTTTCATGATTCTTCTGCCTCCTAACAAAAACATTTATTGAACAACTCTTATGAGCAAACAGGCCCCAAACAATTCAGACATGTTATTGAATTCAGTAAATCTAAGGCACACATAAGAATATTCCAGAGCCACATTCTGTAATGGCTGGACACAGGGTGAATTAGGGACCAGCCTGAAGTGCGGTCCCTAAGCGTGCGGACCACAGGGCATGACAGATTCTGTTTTTCATCCTCTCTTCTTCCCGGCTCCATGTCCCAACGGGCAACTGCTGATGTTCTTCAGATGTTTCTATGGGGTTCTGGAAGCTACTGGTTGATTGAGGAATTCATTGTTTTCTCAACTGACTTTTCCATGTGGTGCTTGAACTGCTTCTTCCTGAGGATTAGGCATCCTTTTTACAGAAATAATGAAGGCATTGCATTTAACAAGAAAGTGAGAGTGGCAAAGGTAAGAGGCGAGAGGGGTGTGCTTCATGGTTTCCTCTGTGCCCCTGAACAGCGGCCTCCCCACTCTGAACTTCTCTCCTGATCGTGAAGGCTGGAGACAAGCACGGTGTTCCCAGCACAGCACCGCGTGTGGGGCTGCTCTCATCCCTGCCTCGGCCCACTCCAGCCCCCTGACCTCTGAGATCCTTCCTTTCGCAGCTGCTTGTGAAAAACATCCAACTGGAGGATGGCAAGATGGTCCTGGCCTCGAACTTCTTCAGGGGAGAAGCCAGCAGTGCCCTCGAGCTGACAGAAGAGGAACTGGTCACTGCGGAGGCCGTGCGGGTAAGAGGCACCTTCGGGGCTGCTGTCCAGTTGAGCAGGTTGTGCGCTGCACATGTGTTACGCAAATCGCCCTCCCCAGAGCTGAACCATGCCCACCCTCTGTGGGTGTATGTGCAGGACAGTAGGATCTATCCTGACTCGGAGCTTTCTGATGTCTTCTTGCCCCTTCTTCCTCTGCAACTGGGGGCCCTGGGATTTGACCAGCTGAGTCTGACTCTTCTGAGAACTCACTGTCAACAGTTAACATGTGAAACAGAAGCCCACAGAGTCAGGTGCCAAGCCCACGGCCCTGTAATGAGAATGTGTGCACTAGAACCTTCCAGAACATCTGGCCAAGAGGGAGCATCCTGGGCTGTGACCAGCACAGGCTGCCCATCAGACAGACCACATGATGCCAGAGGGGCTCGGTCTTCTCACCCTGAAGTCTCATAAATGGGTACTTCTCAGAATTTGCCCCTGGCTCTTCCTTCCCCCTTTGTCTGTCTCCCTCTACCTAGAAGTCATGCGTGGATCTTGAACCTTGCTGAATGGATAATGTTGGACGAGTTTCCAGTCATTCATTCATTCAGTCATATATTCAACTACTTAAGCAAGTGCCAGGCACCAAGAATATAACATGAAGCATACCTTCCTTTGGGGGAGGTAGGGGGTACATAACTGAGCCAATGAATAAAATCATTTGAGAAATGCTACAAGTAAAGTAACAGAGGTGTGGGAAGGAGGTCCCTTGAGTCGGGGGGTTAACTTTACAAGGAGAATCACGGAAGGCCTACCTGAGAGGGGCTTTGGGCCAAGACCTGGATATAGAGAAGAGGTCTGGCAGAAGACCTTCAAGAGAGAAAGAGCAGCAAATGCTGAGGAGGCCCTGACAGGGCAGGGTCCTCTCTGTGTTTAGGGGACTGCTGCTGGAGGGTGCTGTCTCAGGAGCCTGGGGGGCAAGGGGCTTACTGGAAGGCAGGGGCCAGAGCTGGTGACCACAGGTATTAGGCCTCATGTGGAGGGGAGGATTCAGCAAGGGACAGATGGAGGTGCTGGCATGGTCCAGGGAGCACTGAGAGCCAGCAACTTCTTTACTTGAAGAACACTTTGAATGTTTGTTTTGTTTTGTTTTGAGTTGGAGTCTCACTTTGTCGCCCAGGCTGGAGTGCAGTGGCATGCTCACAGCCACTTCAGCGTCAACCTGCTGGGCTCAGGCGACCCTTCCATCTCAGCCTTCCATGTAGCCGTAACTACAGGCACATACTACCGCGCCCAGCTAATTTTTTATTTATCGTAGAGACAAGGTCTTGCCAAGTTGCCTGAACTGGTCTCGAACCTGTGGGATCAGGCACTCCACTCGCCTTGGCCTCCCAAAGCACTGGGATTACAGGCTGAGCCACAGAAGCTGGCCAAAACAAAAAAAACCCCAAAAAACCTTATTATTCCAAAAATATTCCTGGAGCAGCTGCTCTGGCCACGACTCCATGCCTGTCCTGGGGCTCCAGGGCCAACTGGACAGACAGCCCTGGAACTCATAGCTGGGTGGGCCCCCAGGAGTGATGGGGTCATCTGTCCATGGACCAAGGTCTGAGTCAAAGGCGCTACCTCACGACAGCTGCCATTGCATCCTGCATCTGTAAAGAGGGAGTAACAAACCCCTCCTCAGTGGAGGCTGTTACTGATAGAGGAGATAGCACACATGAAAACATTGAGCTTAGTAGCTGGCACATACTGGGCACTCAATACCCATCGGCAAGGAGTCCAAGAGTCACCATGAGACAGGCAGGTGCTTCTAGAACATGTACGTAGGCAGAGTCGCAAACACCCCAGGAAGAGGAGTGTGTTTGTTCATCGTGACAACTCTCTGAAGTAGGTGCTGTTATTACCTTCATGTCGCAGTTGAGGAATGAGGGGTGAATCCCAGCTAATGAGAGACCATGCTGAGCTGCAGCCCGAGGAGCAGGCTCGGTCCTGGCCTACATCACACCATGCGGCCTGCCGGGATGCCACTAGGATCGTTGTAATTTGCCTCTTGCTCAAAGCTGGCTGGGCACCTGGGACATGTGATCTGGAGACCAGTGGGGTGGAGGGGACATGGACAGAATGAGGAGAGGCCCGTCTGGGGCTGCGTGGCTCCCCAGTGTTTGTAGAGGGGCCCCAACCGAACTCGGCAAGGGTCCACTGTGGGCCAGGCCGGGCAGTGGGCAACAACCCTCCCTCACGTCCTCCTGAACCAGGTCTGCCGGGCGCTGCATGTGGCATGAAGGCTGCCTATGCTGACTCTTGCTGAAGTCTAAGCTCTCTGCCTGCATCACACACAGAAGCTGACACAGCTGCTGTCAGCACGGAGAGGCTACCTGCATTTCCACTGCGTGCCAGGGAGGGGGCTGGGGGCTGGATGAGGCTGAGTAGCTTCAGGGTGCATGTGGCGACCAGTTTGCCCCTCAGAGGTTCCTCTCCCATCTGATAAGGGCCGTGTGTCTGGTGGGTGCCATCCAGCGACAGACAACTGGTGGCCCCAGAACCCATCATCTGAGGAGGGTAACCCTGACAGCAGAGTGGTCAGTGAAGGTGACAGAGGTGACACAACAGTTGGCCTCTGAAGGATGCCCACGATTTACACATGAGCTGGGGGTCAGGGGAAGGCTGCCAGCAGGTGAGAGCCCAGGCAGCAGGCATGGGATGGACAGTGAGTGGCTTGGTCTGGTGCTGACGGTCACTCTGAGGATGGGAAGGGAAGATCCTTGATGCCGTTCCAAGAAAGAAAGAGGGGACTCGAGGAGGTTGCCAGGAGTCATGGGGCAGGGGGATGATCCTGCCTGGGCGTCTTATGCCCAACGCCTGGCCTCACCTCAGCCTGGGCCCGAGACTGACCACTGCCTGGAGTTCAGTCAGGGCATGGGGACCTGGCCAGCTTTGCCAAGCCCCTCCTCACTCCTGCCTTGCTGGGAGCCTATCTATAGAGCAGTCACCCCATCTTGGTCCACTGCACGGCCTGGGGTGAATGGGCAGATGCTGACCACTCACGTCTACAAGACCAGCTGGCCAGGCACAGCTGCCCTTCGTAGGTCCCAGGACAGAGCACTCCAGACCAGTTAGTTTCTCAATGAGGACAAGCTTGGGTCTCCTGAGCTGTCAGTGAGCTCTGTAGTCCCTCAGAACCACCTTCTTCCCCACTCTTGCAGCTGCAACACCTGCACATGGACACCAGACCTGAATGCTAGTGGCTGGGTGTGAGCTGGGGGCCCAGCAGCCAGTGGCCCTGCCTTCCCAGTCCCCAGCCACTCCCTGAGTCCTTGCACATCTGTCCTCTGCCAGTTGGACTGCTACGGAGACCTCAGAGAAACTGAAAGCTAAGGCGAAGGGGGAGTGAGGATGGTAGCCAGAGTCAGAGTGGTCTGGGTCGTGGTGGCTCCTGCTTCCCAGGAGGTTGTGGCTCCAGGACCACCAGGCCCCTGGGAAGAGGTAGCACCTCGGAGGGGACCCAGTCTGGCCCTGGGCCATCCGCAAGTGTGTCCAGGTGATGCTGTCATGGGGCAGACCTTCCCCCAGGCCCCTGGAGCCTCCCTCTCACAGGTCTTGCTTTGCAGAGCGTTTGGCAACGCATCCTCCCCAACATCCTGGAGGTTGAAGACTCCACCGATTTCTTCAAGTCAGGGGCTGCATCTGTGGACGTTGTGAGGTAAGGCCAGGAGTCCTGTCCCAGGCCCCTGGTGCTGTGTTGCATGTCACTGCAAAATGGAGTGGTGGGAAACAACCACTGTGTTAAGCTCATGGATCATGCAAGCCAGAGACCCAGGAAAACCTCACACCCACAGGGCTGGGGAGCAGTCAGGAATGGCTACAGGTCTCTTTGCAAATGGCGAGCAGTGGTGTCGCGTGAAGCCCACCCGGGGAAGTTCTGGGGAGAAGCTTGAGTGTGGCTGATGCAGAAGAGCAGCTCTGAGATCATGAAGAGAAGGGGACACATAAATATATGTATAGTGCTAATTAGTTTTTGTTGTGTAACAAATCACCCCAAAACGTTGTTATTTAAACAAGCATCATTTCTTTAGCTCACGGTACTAAGGTTGACAGCCGTGTGCTGGGCTCAGCTCATCTGGGCCAGATTCAGCTGCTGTCAGCTGGGCTCACAAGGTGTCTGGGGCAGCTGCCCGGTCAACTGGAGGTGGCTGGTCTAGGCTGGCCCCTTCGGAAGCCAGCCCAGGCTTGCTCCTATAGTGTTGGCTGGGCTCCAGGAGAGACAGTGGGAGCATGCAGTCCCTCTGAGGCCTGGGCTTGGAGAGAGCACGTCGTGTCCACTGCTTCTTGCTGGCCGCAGTGAGTCATGGGGCCAGTCCAGCTTCCAGAGGTGGGGAAATAGACTTTGCCTCCTACTGGCAGGTGCTGCACCCTCATGTCGCCAAGGTTGCAGGGGGTGGATGTTGTGGCCAGTTTTGCAATCTGCTATGCATAGTGAAGGACTGGCTTTGTGTCTTGGAAAGTCTGTGTGCTTGGAAGTCTTGGACACTACGAACATTTAGTAACTCACTCTGCTCTAGTAACGCATACTGTTTGTGGGGCAATATGATGTATAAAATAATTGTTTTGCAAAAAATAATGCTAAGAAGGAGAATGTTAGACACCTGAGAGAATGGTGCCCAGAGGCCAAGCCACACCTGCATAGAGCCAGGGAGCTGAGGTTGATGGAGAATGCAATGCAGAATGTTCCTTTTTTTGGTGGGGGATAGTTAAGAGCATATATCCTCTTTTAAAAAAGTTTCTAAAGACACATAACACAGCAGCTGCCCTCTTAACAAAATTTTAAGCATACGTTGTTATTCAAGCATATGTTAACTATGAGCACGGCGTTGGTCAGCAGACCTCTAGAGCTCTTTCTCGCATGTCTGAAACTTCCTGCCCATTGAACAGCACCTCTCATTTCCTCCTCCCCAGCCCCAGCAACAACCACTCTACTTTCTGCTTTGATGAGTTTGCTTACTCCTACATCTCATATAAGTGGAATCATGCAGTATTTCTCCTTCTGTGACTGGCCTATTGCACTTAGCACCATTTCTACAAGATTCATCGATGTCATAGCATGTGGCAGGATTTCCATCTTTTTATGGCTGAATAAGTATTCCCTAGACCATATTTTCCTTATCCATTCAGCCAATGATGGACATATGTGTTGTTTCCACATTTGGCTATTGTGAAGGAATATGGAAGTTTTTGGGCGTTCAGGATCCTTACTGTAATTCTTTTGGATAAATACCCAGGAATTGGCTTACTGGGCCATGTTATTTCAATTTTTAATTAGAGGATGTATCATTTTAAATGATCACCTACAGCGTACAAGGATTCCAACTTCCCCACATCCTTGCCACCAGTCTCCTCCCTCCCTTCCTTCTTTCCTTCCTTTTTTCCTCTTCCCGTCTGCCTGTCTGTCTCCCTTCCTCCCTCCTCCCCTCTTCTCCCTCCCCCTCCCTCCTTTCCTTTCCTTTTGTTCACATTAGTCACATTTTCTTTTTTTTAATAGTGGCCATTCTAGTGGGTATGAGGTGATATCTCATTGTGGTTTTGACTTGCGTTTCCCTGATGCTTAGTGATGTTGAACGTCTTTTCATATTTCTGTTGATCATTTATATGTCTTCTTTGGAGAAATGTCTGTTCAAGTCTTTGCCATTTTTAAATGGGGTTCACTGTTTTAACTTAGTTTTGAGTTGTAGAAATTTCTTATATATCTTGGAGCACATCGTGTCCACTGCTTCTTGCTGGCCGCAGTGAGTCATGGGGCCAGTCCAGCTTCCAGAGGTGGAGAAATAGACTTTTAGTGTGATGTGGTCTCACTTGTCTAATTTTGCTTTTGCTGATTGTCCTTTTGGTGTCATATTCAGGAAATCATTGCAAAGACCAGTGTTATGAAGTTTTCCCTGTGTTTTTTTCTAGGAATTTTGCAGGTTTAAGTCTTACTTTTAAGTCTTTCGTCCATTTTGAGTAAATTATTTCTATGTGTGATTCAAAATAAAGAAGGTCTTATAAAATTATTTTGCATGTGGATACTCAGTTTTTCTGCCACCAGTTGAAGAAAGTATAATTTCCCCATTGTGCTTTCTTGGAATCCTTGTTGAAGATAGTTGACCACACACATGTGTGGATTTATTTCTGGACTCTCTATTTCGTTCATCTATATGTCTATCTTTATGCCAATATCATACTCTTTTGAGTTTTGCACTTTTGAAATCAGAAAGTGTGAGTTCTCCAATTTTGTTCTTTTTTGAAATTGTTTTGTTTATTTGCAGTCCCTTGAGATTTCATATAATTTTAAGATAGACTTTATAATTTCTGCGAAAAAAACAGCACCATTTGTTGGGATTTTAATAGTGATAGCATTGAAATTTTAGATTGCTTTGGCAGTATTGTCATGTTAACATTATTAAGTCCTCCAGTCTGTGAACATGAATGCCTTTCCATTTATTTACGTCTTCTATAATTTATTTCAGTAAGGTTTTATAGTTTTCAGTGTATGACTTTGTTGCCTCCTTGGGTAAATTGTATTATTTTTGATACTGTTGTAAATGAATTACTTTCTTAACTTCTTTTTTTGGATTTTTGTTCATTGCTAGTGTATAGCACTGCAATGGATTTTTACATGTTGTATTTGTATCCTACAACTTTGCTGAATTCCTTTATTTGTTCTAACATTTGGTATGTAATTCTTAAGGTTTTCTGCATATAAGATTATGTTATCTGTGAAGAGATTTGATTTTACTCCTTCTGTTGCAATTTGGAAGCCCTTAATTTCTCTTTCTTGCCTAATTGCTCCGGCTAGAACTTCCAGTACAGCCATCCCCTTTTTCTGTGGCTTTGCTTCCTGCAGTTTCAGTTACTCATGGTCAACTCATGGTGGCCCAAAAATATTAGACAAAAATAAACAACTCATTCTTTTTAAATTTTTTGCCACACTGAGTAGCATGATGAAATCTTGTGGCATCCTCTCATCCTACCTGGGACATGAATCAGCCCCTTGTCCAGCATATCCATGGTGTACGTGCTACTGTCTATTAGTCACTTGGTAGCTATCTGGGTTATCAGATAGAAACAGCATTACACATATTTACAAACACATTTATCGACTAACAGTCTTAATGACTTAAGTTGGTTTGACTTGCAACTTTTTGACTTTACAATGGTGTAAATGTGACACACATTCAGTAAAAACCATACTTTGAGTACCCATACAACAATTTTGTTTTTCACTTTCAGTACAGTATTTAAGAAATTACATAGGATATTCAGCACTTTTGTAAATAGGCCTTGTATTAGATGATTTTTTCACCCAACTGTAGCCTAATGTAAGTATTCTGAGCATGTTTAAGGTAGACTAGGCCAACCTCTGATGTTCAATATGTTAGTTGTATTAAATGCATTTTCAACTTGCAAGATTTTCCATTTATGATGGATTTATTGGGCTGTAACCCCATCATAAATCAAGGAACCTCTGTATAGGATTCAGGCATTCACTGGGAGTCTAAGAACAAAATCCAACAAAGATAAAGGGAGACTACTATTTATATTGTATAGAAGTGGTGAAAGTCGGCATCCCTATCTTACTGCTGATCTCAAGAGAAAGACTTTCGGTCTTTGACCACTGCGTATGTTAGCTGTGTGTTTTTTATACATGACCTTTAATATATTTTGGATGTTTCTTTCTAAGTTTATTGAGTGCTTTTCTTATCATCAAAGGGTACTGAATTTTGCCAAATTATTTTTCTACATTAATTGAGATGATCATGTGTTTTTTTCTCTTCATTCTATTAATGTGGTGTATGACACGGGTTGATTTCCGCAGGTGAACCATCCTTGAATTCTGAGGATTGGTCCCACTTGGTCACGGTGTATAATCTTTCTAATATGCTGCTGAAATCATTTTGCTAGTTTGTTGAGGATTTTTGCATCAGTGTTCATAAGGGATATTGCTCTGTGGTTTTCTTCTCTTGTAGTGTCTTTATCTGGTCTTGATGTCAGTGTAATTCTGGCCTTGTAGACTGAGTTGGGAAATATTCATTCTTCTTCAAATTTTTTGTAAGTGTTTGCTAAAAAATGGTATTAATTCTCCTTTAAGTATTTGGTGGAATTCACAAGTTAAACTATTTAGCCCCTGGCTTTTCTTTGTTGGAAAAATTTTTATTGATATTCAGTTTTCTTACAAATAACATGTCTGTTCTAATTTTCTATTTATCCATGAGTCAGTTTTGGTAGAATGTGTTTCTAGAAATATGCTCATTTCACATAGGTTATCAGGTTTATTGGCATGCAATTCATTATATATTTTCTTTTGAATTCAATGTAATGTCTCCCTTTGATTTCTAATTCTAGTAATTTCAGCTTTGACTTTTTTTCCCTTGGTCAGTCCAGTTAAAGGTTTATTAATTCTAATTTTGTTGATATTTTCAAGGAATCGAATTTTGATTTTGTTAATCTTACCTATTGTTTTTCTAGTTTCTATTTCATTTATCTCTGTTTTAATTTTTATTATTTCCTTCCTTCTGTAAGCTTTAGGTTTAGATTTTTTCCCTCTATCTCCTTAAGGTGAACAGTTAAAATACTGATTTGAGGTCTTTATTCTGTTTTAATGTATATATTTACATCTATAAATTTCTCTTTTATCCCCACTTTTCCTGCATCTCATAAGTTTTGGTATGTTGTGTCTTTGTTTTCCTTTAACTGAAGGTATTTTAGTTTCCCTTGTGATGTTTTTCTTTGACCCATAGTTATTAAAGAGTGTGCTATTTAATTTTCATTTATTTGTGAATTTAATGATTTTTCTTCTCTTATTTATTCTAGTTTCATTTATTGTGATCAGAAAAGATACTTTATAAGATTTCAATCTTTGGTCGGGCATGTTGGCTCAAGCCTGTAATCCCAGCACTTTGGGAGGCTGAGGTGAGAGGATTGTCTGAGTCCAGGGGTTTGAGACCAGCCTGGGCAACTTGGTGAGACCTCGTCTTTACAATATAACAAAATATTAACCAGGTGTGGTAGCACATACCTGTAGTTCCAGCTACTTGGAAGGATGAGGCAGAGGATTCACCTGAGCCCAACAGGTTGACACTGGGGTGGCTGTGAGCGTGCCACTGCACTCCAGCCTGGATAATAGAGTGACACTCTGACTTCAAAAAAAAAAAAGATTTTAAGTTTTAAAAATGTACTAAGATTAATGTGGAGCCTAATCAGTGGTTTATCCTGAAGAACGTTTCAAGTGTATTTGGGAAGAATGTGTATTCTGCTCTTGTCTAGTGGAGTATTTTGCATATGTCTGACTGGCTTATAGTGTTGTTCAAATGTTTTACTTACTTATCTTGTATCTTTTTGTTCTATTTATTATTGAAAGTTGGGCATCTAAGCCTCCAACTATTGTAGAAATGTCCATTTTTTTCCTTCAATTTTTGTCAATTTGGCTTTATATATTTTGAGGTATGTTTGTGTTTGTAGTTGTTATGCCTTCTTGGTGAATCAAGACTTTCATCAATCTCATGTTCTTCTTTGTGTCTCATAAACTTGTTGATTTAAAGTCTATTTTGTTTGATAATAATATAGTTACCCCAGTTCTCTTATGAATACTACTTGCGTGAAATAACTTCTTCATCCTTTTGCTTCCAATCTTTTGTGTCTTTATAGAATGAGTCTTTGTAGCATATTGATGGATACTGGTTTTTACAATCATCTAATTTGTGCCTTCTTACAGGAGCAGTCATTCCATTTATATTTAACTTGATTACTGATAAAGAAAGATTTACTTCTGCTGTTTATCTATTTGTTTTCTATATGTCTTTTTGTTTGTTTCTCAATTTCTCTATACTGCCTTTTAAAAAAATTAGTGTCTTTTTTTTGTAGTGTAGGTTTTTGATTCTTTGCGTCTTTCTTTTGCTATATTTTAAAAAGTTATCTTTCAGTTTTACCTTGGAGATTGCAACTAACATCTTAAATGTATATCAATCTAGTTCAAATAATACCAACCTGGCTTCAACAGTATACAAATACTCCAGTCAGTTCTATACATCTCTGTCCCTTTCCCTTTATATGGTTATTATCACAGATCACATCTTTATTCATTGTATACCCATTAATATAGATTTAAATTTGTTGTGTGCATTTGTTACTATATTATACAGGAAAAAGAGAGACATTACAAACTATACCAAAAGTACACTAATACCAACTTTTATATTTACTTATGTAGTTACCTTTACCCATGCTCTTTATTTCTAATTATGCCTTCAATTTACTGTCTAGGGTACTTTCATTTAAGCCCAAAAGTCTCTCTTTAGCATTTTTTATAGGGCAGGTATACTGGGAATACATTTCCTCAACTTTTGTTTATCTGAAATATCTTAATTTCTTTTTCATTCTCGAAAGATAGTTTTGGTGGGTATAGAATTTTTGGTTGACATTTTTTTTCCCCCTAAAACTTTAAATATGTCATTCCATTGCCTTCTTGCCTCCATGGCTTTTTAGTGAAAATCAGATTTTAATTTCATTAAAAATTCATTGTATATAATGAGCTACTTCTCTCTTGCCATTTTCCAAATTCTTTCCTTATCTCTGGGTTTCAGTAAGTTGGATGTAATGTTCTAGATGTGAATCTCTTTGAATATATCTTGCTTTGAGTTCATTGAGCCTCTTACATGTGTATATTCTTTTCTCAGACTTGGGTACAAATTTCTTCAAAAATATTTTTTTCTTTTCTTCTCTGAAACTCCTATAATGAGAATGTTGGTATGTTTCATGGTAGCCTACATGTCCCTTTTTTTTTTTTTCACTCTTCATTCTGCTTCTCAGACCCGAAGAGTTTACTGATCTTTCCTTCTGTCTACTCAAATCTGCTTTTGAACACTGCTATTGCATTTTCTGTTTCAGTTACTTTACTTGACTGTTCAATAATTTGTTTGGTTTCTTATAATCATTTCTGTCTCTTTATTGATATTCTCATTAATATTTGTCCATGCATCATTTTCTTGATTTTCTTTAGCTCTTTGTCCATGGTTTCCTTAGCCCACTGAACATACTTAAGACAATTGACATAATGTCTTTACCATGTAATTCCAGTATCCAATTATCCTTAGGGATACCTTATTTCAAATCTCCTCCAACCCTCCACCACGGATGGACCTTACTTTCTTGCTTCTTCATATGATTTGGAATTATTTGGTTTGTAACTGAACATTTTGAGGGTTGTGTTGTAGTGATTTTGGAAATATAATTCTCCTGCTCCTCGGGGATTGCTGAATCTTTTGTTGAGGGCTAAAGCCACCTGTGCATGACTTTTCCAAATTACTTCTACAATGTATTTATGCTTTATCATATGGTCACTGAAATCTCTGTTCCATTATTCCTGCAGTCAGCCAGTGACCTGACAGATACTTTCCTAAATGTCTGAATACCAAAATTGGGGGAAATGCCTCTTTAAATTTTCTAGAAACTACTTCACCCTGTGAGGGTTGAAGCAATGGCTGCCAGACTTTGTGATAGACTGTCAGCAATCAAAGACATCATCTGTGCTCAGAACACAATCCTGATACTAGGAGGGCAAGATCTTTACTCCCACCTTGGCTTTGGCAACCTCTATCTGGAATGTAGATCCAAGATCCCACAGCTTCCTGCTGCAGGGATGGGAGGTGAGGGATGACATGCGACACCTCCTGAAAGGCTGAGATGTACTGACATTGGCCAACTTCATAAATCTTTCTCCTTGATGCTGCCAGCATTTGACTAGACTCCAGAGGTCCAAAATATTTTATTCAAGCAGGTTTTTTTTTGTAAGTTCAATAATTGTTTAGATGGAGGGATGGATTTCTGGAGTTTCCTGTTCTTCCATCTTCTGTCTAGACATAGACTTTTTTTTCCCTTACTCATGGGTAAATACCTACGAGTGAATTGAGAGTCTATGTTTAACTTTTAAGAAACTGCCAAACTGCTTTTCAAAGTGGTTGTACCATTGATATCCCACTAGCCATGTATGAAACTTACAGTTTCTCAGTACTTTGCAACTTTCCCGATGAGTATTATAGTCAGGCTGTTTAATTTTAGAAATTCTGATAAGTATGCAGCTGTATCTCATTGTGGTTTCAATCTGCCTTTCCCTAATGACTAATGATGTTGAGCGTCTTGTCATATTCTTATTAGTAATCTGTATTCCTTATTTGGTGAAGAATCTATTCAATCTTTTGCCCATTTTTAATTGGATTGTTTTCTTTCTTGTGCTGAGTTTTGAGAGTTCTTTGTATGTTCTGAATACAAGTTCTTTATCAGATATGTGATTTAGAAACATTTTCTCCCAGTCTGTGGCTTGTCTTTTCATTCTTTTGACTGTGTCTTCAGAAGATTATCTTCTATTAATTATTATTAGGAGTTATCTTAATTACTCATCACAAGCTAGTAGAGGAGCTATTACTGTTATTTCTATTTTTCAGATGAAGAAACTAAGGTTTAGAGGAGTTAGCCATTTGCCCAAAGTCACAAATTATTGAGTGGTAGAGCAAGAACCTGAACCAGGGCCTTATGAATCTGCAGCCTGGGTGCTTCACCTTAGGCCCAGACTCATGGCCACACTCTGGGTGCTGGCATGGGTGCCTCTGGGTAAATATGTTTGGCACTACCACCTCTGCCACTGAATGACACAGGCCCACCATGCCTCTTCCCATCTCCTCATCTTTCCATCTCCTTCCTCCAGGCTGGTAGAGGAAGTCAAGGAGCTGTGTGATGGCCTGGAGTTAGAAAATGAAGACGTTTACCTGGCAACCACCTTCAGGGACTTCATCCAGCTGTTAGTGAGAAAACTGAGAGGAGACGAAGATGAGAGCGAGTGTACCATTGACTGTGTGAGTCTTGGGCCCTCCACGTCCACCCGGCCCTACAGACCTCTCAGGTAGCTGCGTCTGCAGATCCACAATGACACATGGGGGAAATCCAGTGGCTCAGAAAACCAGGACCTAAAGGGCACCCTTTCATTTCTCATCCTCTCCCTGCACTCTGGGATAGCCTGGGGATGTCAGAACAATAGGGCAGACTTGGCAGAGGGCATTGCTGTCTGATGCTCAGTATACGGGCCAAGCTTTGAGTCTCAAGACATGAGCCCAAGATATTAAGAAGAGAATTTTAGTTCCCAATAAGGACAACAAATGACGCTGTACATTCAACTTGTATATATGGAAGTGTGATAGGTCATTGCAAATCTATATTTTAAAGAAATTCTTGAGAAATCTTCCCTGGGGTATCTTGGTGGGCCACCAACTCCCATGGGAATGAGCTTTGGACTAACTTGTTTGGCTAGTTGTTTAGGGCAAAAGCAGGTGAAGAAAGTACAGGAATCTAAGGTGGATCCCAGGTAGGCCTTGGGATTGTGGACATATGACTGATGAACAGATTCCAGGAGTGGGGTGGTGTCCCAGAGAAGGCTGCCTTCAGCATGGAATTGCCCACCTGCAGGGAAGTGAGTGGTGAAGTGTGGGGTGTCTGGCAGCTTCCAAGGTCCTTACCACTCACCAGCACTTCTGATGTTCTGAGGAGGCTGAGGACAGTGAGCAAGCAGCAGCCCTGGGATTCTCCCAGGCAGGCCTCTGGATGTGCGCCCTTTATCTCTCCTGGACACTCAGCTGCCACTGCCGCCACAAGGAGCTCCTGAAACCCCAAGGAGGCCCAAGGTCTTGAGCATCGGCCCCTGGGTTGTGTGGCTGTGTATCCATCTGTGTGTGTCCCTGGGTGCGTATGTGTTTGTCACTACACTCATCTGGGAAGAATACATACTGCAACTGAGGCCTTTCTCTCCAGGTAGAAAAAGCAGCCAACAAGCGGACTCTTCGAATGCCCCATCAGCTCTTTATTGGGGGGACGTTTGTGGATGCTGAGGGTGCCAAGACCTATGACACCATCAACCCGACTGACGGAAGTGTGAGTGCAGACCCAGCACCCCTCCCCCCATTCTCCCGATGCCCCTCCTCCTCCTTCCCCTTCTTTTCCTACACCAGGCCTCTGAGGGTCCTGGCCCAGGGGACCTCTGCTTAGAGGTATGTCTTTGAGATGGATATGAAAGAATGCCAGTCAGTTTCCAGCCTGTCCTGGCTGGACTCACTAAATTAATGGTCCTCTCTTCTTGGTGTGAACAACGCTAAGCTGATGCTCAGGCTTGGACCTCTAGGCTGAACCTGCTGCCCCTGTTTGGGCTGTGTGGGAATGTGAAACCAGGGCCCCTGTTACGTAGAAACAAGCAGCCCTTTCCCAAGGCCTTTCCTTCCTGTAAACTCTTCCGGGGTCCTTCTTTGGCTGAGCTTCCTCCCTGAGTCTGCTCACGTGGCCAGGGTCCTATCCCAGGAGGGCCTCAGAGGGAAACCAGGGAAGCAGGTGAGGTTGTCTGTGCACACTGGACCCAGGGAGGACTGTCATGGCTTTGCTTCCACCACAGGTTATCTGCCAGGTGTCCCTGGCCCAAGTCAGTGATGTTGACAAGGCAGTGGCAGCAGCGAAGGACGCCTTTGAGAATGGTCGGTGGGGGAAGATCAGTGCACGGGACCGGGGCCAGCTCCTGTACAGGTGAGAGCCCGACACGCACCTGTCAGCCACCACCACCTTCAGCTTGGGAAGGGGACACATTCCTGCAAAGATCCCCTTCCCAGATGTCCTACCAGAAGGAGGCAGATCCCAGGGAGGTCATGGAAAACTCTTCGTAGAGGAAGGGACTTGAGAAGGAGGGATGTTACAGCCAAGAGGATGGCCTTGGGAAAGAGGTGTTCTGTGGAGGGGAGGGTGTGTCTGAGAGCTGCAGCACACTGGGCAGGCCCAGACAGGCACAGCATTTCCCTGAATTGGCCTGGGCCAAGCCCAGGAGGACTTGGGCCTTCTCACACAGAGGCAGCAAGGGCAGGGGTGGGGCCGGGCCAGTCCCTGCACATGGTTGCTCAGCCTGGCTCTGGCTACTGGAATCTCCTGGTCTCACATTTTCCTTTCTTTA